CAGGAGGGACCATGAGTTGGAAACCAATATATTTATGGGGTTTGACTGTGCCTAGCTCCCAATACAGGCCCCAGGAACATAAAGGTGAAAAGGCCACTGGTTTCTTGCCTCGTGGAGCTCTAAAGGTGGATCACAAGGAAAATTCACAGTCATACCCATGTGTCCTGATGGAGAAGCTAAATTCTGGGGGAGCCCAGGTTTGGGGCATCTGCAGCAATGGTAGCAGTTGGATGTCAGGCTAAGGCCTGGGCTTCATCTTGTGGGAAAAGGAAGAAGCAAGAATCTGCCATGATTAGATTTGTGCTTTTGAAACAGATCACTGGGTATATATATTTTCAATAAGGTACAAATGAAAGTATCCCCATTTTGGATGAACAATACCAAACATAAGGAGCCAATGGACATGAACCTGGTTGAGCTGCTCATCTGTAGGTTACAGGTGCGGAGAGACCTAAAGCGAGAGAGACCCTGGTTCATGTTTAAGTCCCTGCCACTGACTTATACTGTGAACGACAGCAAATTACATGCCATCTCAGCCTCAGTCTCCTCCCTTGTAAAATGGAAATGCTGTCACCAAACACCCAGGGCTTCCATAGCCTTAAGTGGTATGTCAGATGACATTGTCCCTTTGTATATCGCCAACAAGTGTGAAACATTAAGGGGAGGCTCCAGCGGGCTCAGGGCACATACCCCAGGATCTTCCAGACATCCACACCCCTGGTGAGTCCTCAGGGAGTCTCTCTCAGCTGTTCCAGCTCAAACCAAAGCCATCCTGTAAAAACACAGTGCTGTCCAGAGACGCCATCCCCCGTGTGTGTGTTGGGTGGGCCACCTGCCCCGGGTACAGCCTGCTGGACCATGAACATCAACAAGGGCCCCTTTCCAGTGGGAGGAGGAACAGGGAGCTGGCTTGTTCTCTAAGAGTGGAGCACTGGCGGGCAACGAGGAACATTCTAAGGTGGGACGCTTCTTCCTGCACTATTGGCAGCTGTCTACATAAGGCGTCCATTATGTGCGGGCCCCAACTCCACGGAGACTGAGAGGCTGAGCTAAAATTAGTGTCAAATGTGCACCCGCCAGAGACACAGAACATCCAAAGGTCAGATGCCTCTAGGCAGCTGCCCAGGCAGGAGCGGGGGAGCTTAGCATTTGGCATCCTGGGTCCCTCTTGGACACAGGGACAGATATCTCTGCCCAGGTTAGATTAAAAAATAGAATCCAGACTGTAATATATATATATAGATTCATTTAAGAACTGAGGTCCCGTGACTAAGTCATTAATTGAATTGTTTGCTAAATAAGAAATTATATATTATAATGTTCAGAACAAAGACATGGTCAGAGGAAACTCCAACTCAATGATTTTGCTTTTATTTGCATAAATTCTTACATGCTGCATTTCAGAAAATAAGGTGACAGTACTATACAGTACCATCAGCAAAAATCATAGTACTGTATCAATAAGGTGCACTGTACAAAAAAGGACATTGAGGCTCTATAAACAAGATGTACAAGACTGTGCAAAAAAATAAAGGTGGGTGGTAAGTCTAAGCTGCAGGGTGTAAGTCTGAACAGTTGTTAAACAGCTAGGTTGTTAAATGAGAAATATCTATTTATCTATTCAAATGTGCATACGTATACACACAGAAAAAGGATGAGTGAAGATCCACTAAATAGCTTAGCCATGGATGTGAAACAATGGTGGATTTTTTTTCCTTTTCCTGTACTTTCCAAAATTTCCTCTATAAATATGCATTATTTTTGTAATCAGAAAAGAACACAGTAGCCAGGCGTGGGGACACATGCCTGTAATCCCGGCACTTGGGAGGCTGAGGCAGGAGAATTGCTGCTAGTTGGAGGCCCGCCTGGGATACAAAGTTAGTTCAAGGCCTGTCTGAACTGCATAGTGAGACCAAAAATGAAAAAGACCAAAAAACAAAACAATACAAAAAAACCCATAATAAAAGAGGACATAAAGTGCATATTTACATTAAACATACAAAAACGACTAATCTGTGTCTGCTTTTTGGCATGTGATATATGTGTGTGTGCAAACACACTTACATGGCTGGCTGGTGTTAAAGAGCAACTCCTCCAATCCCTTATTTTATGGAGAAAACAGGCCCACAAGCAAATCAGCTCAGAGATTTCTTTCCAACGAGCCTGGTGTTGAACTGGAGTTTCCCCAGCATTGCTCAGTTATTCTTGCAGGTGTTTTATACCCATTTCATGGAAATGGAAATTGAAGTAGAGATATAAACTGATTTACCTACTGATGCCTGGCTGGGAAGCCACAGAGCTACATCCTAGCCCATTTCCCATCTGCAGCCTGCTCCTTTTGAAGAAGAAAGGACCTTTGAAAAAGCAAAGCAAAACCAAGCCGAATCTACGCCCTGCTCCTAGAGCCTGGAGCATTCAGACAGTAACTCCTTCCCACTGCGAGTTTTAGATGGCTTTCCTAGAGCCACTTGGGCCACATTTTTCTCACCTGGGGCTTATGGTCCTGAGGCTAGATCTGGCCATGGAGGCCTTTGAGCGAACAGGTGATATAAGTTAGGATGTAGGAGCACAAAGGGCGAGGCCTACTCCCTTTCCTGAGATGGACAGGCTGGCTGGCAAAGGCCAGAAGGTGCCAGTCTTCTGGAGGGAGGGGCTACCACATAAACCTCCGTCACATGGCCTCCTCAGCTCACCAGCACCCCAGACCTGGTAGCCTAACATCACAGCAGCTCCAGGGACACTGACCTGAGCCTTTTTTTCCAGCTGCTGTCTCTCCCTGAAAATCCTGTCCCCACCCCCATTTTCTGCCCCACCAACTCTTCAGGGCTCAATTTATCATGCATTTGTGCATTCTCATTAGTGAAGTCAATTTTACTGAGTTTCTCCTACTGCTAAAGCAAGGTAGACATAGCTCCAATCCTGCAGGTACCTATAGTGCAGAGGCTCCGAGTCATTGGAGCAGGAACTCTGGGGCCACTGCCTGGTTAGGCCACTCCTTAGCTATGTGTACTGGGTCAGTCACACAGCCTCTCTGTGCATCGGTTCTCAGCAGTGAAAAAGTGTGATCTTAGCACCTGGCTTATTACAGCTGTGCAGACAGATTGTAAATCCCTATGAAGCTCTTACAGAAGTACCTGGCATGCCATAAAAACACAATGATCATCAGCCATGATTATCTTTATATGACCATCCGGCCCAGATTCCCTCCATCCAGTGCCATCACCCACTGGATGCTGCCTTCTCTGCAGTCCCATAGTCCTTCAAGCACCTCTCAGAGCATCAGTGGCCATGCAGTACAGGTACTGGGGGCCCCCTTAGTCCTTCCTTTCTCCCCAGCCCTCAGCACAAATGCCATCTCTATGCTCCTGCAGTGTGAGCTGGCCTGTGTCCTCAGCCATAGACCAGACAGCCAGAGAGCCTCCTGACTGACCTTCCTCTATCCCTTCCTGCAGCCCTGCCAGCCTCAGGGACCCTTCATCCCTGGGCCTCGGTAAGGTCCTCCTGGTCACAGCCACTGCGGAGTGGCTCTCTGAGTGCCTTGCCTGCTTCTTCTCATGCTGTCTCTGCTCCTGTGCTTACGTGGGTTTGGCCCCCAGAGTTCCCCAGTGCCTGGAATGGAGTTCCAGCTGAATGAGCTTTTCCAAGCAAAGTCAAGGTCACTGGCTTTACTTCCTGTTAACACACATGTGGTAACCACACATGCCACCTTTTCAACCCGAACCCTCACAGGTCTTTCCAGTCACCTGCTGCACAGCAGCACAGGAATCGGCAGAGGAACATAGAATCTAAACACCGACTGCAGGATCCCCAGCCCTGGACAACCTTGCACATGATCTTGTGTTTGATTCTGGAACTGTCTAAGGAGGCAGGTGTTTAACAATGAGACCCTGAAGCTGACAGGTCCCTTGCTCCCTACAGGAAGACAGGAAGGGCAGGAAGGGCTTCAGGGCAACTCTTGCTGGCTGCAGAGCCTATTCTTTCTATACTCCATGGCGTGATGATGTGACAGTGTTCTGAGTCCTACCCAAGGAGAAATTGTAAAACTCTACCACTGCAAAGTATTTCAGCATACAGAAACTGCCACGGGGCAGGTGCCACTTTGCTATAGGTTGGAGGAGAGGAGAGATTAAGAGGGGTGTAACACCAGCACCAAACCCTTTAAGGTTGCTGTCCTGGAGAAAGTGCCCCATTGTTTTCCAGGGACCAAGGATGGCAGAGCTGGTGGAGCAGCAAAAGGAAAGATAAGCACCAGGGTCATGTGGCCAGAGCAGCCATGCACAGTGGGGCCCTGAGCACGAAAGACCAGCCTCAGACACGTCAGCGTGGGTCTGCTGCCCATACACCTTGATACAGTTCAACCCCACAACCAAACCCCAACAGAAAGGACCCCCTCCTTGCCTCGCAGGTTTTGTTGTACTGTGGTTGTCTGCATATGCATCTGCTCTGTTGGAATAGACACTTATGGAGGGCTGCATGTCAGAGTTTGGCTTCAAGCAGAGAGTGCTAGAAGTCTCTCCCTCCAACCCACAAATGCATGTGCAAGCACAGAAACCCTGGGCCAGTGCTGTCTGTCAGTGTGAGGCCATGGAAGTGACCGAACAGGAGACTGCATCGTAGGAAAGGGGCCTGCGACTGCAGTGCCGTCCTCACCGCTGCTGCACCCACTGCAGGGGCTGCTCTGCTCACCTTAGCGCAGTCCCACTGCCTCCTTTACAGACAAGGAAATAAAGCTCCAAAAGGACAGCTGTTCACTTGAGACTTTCCAGCAAGGCAGAGGCAGAGACCTGGGGTCAAGGCCCTCGCCTCTTTCCAGGGCTCTCTCACCAGCACATGCTGGACACCAGCTGCAGGACACTGGACACAAGGTAGCTTCCTCCTGGAGCCTCAGTGACATATGAGGCTCCATTCTCCTGCCAAAGCTGAGGCCAGGCCCACATACTTCCTGGCCAACAGGCATGGTCCATAGAGTCCTGCAGAGTCGGTGACTGGGGAGAGCTTACCTGTCAGACATCAGCTGTAACATGGTGGGGGAGATGTGGCAGAGATTCCTAAGCACTCCAAGGACTGCATTGGAGGGGGACCTGTGAGAGGGAGAAGAGTGAGAATATTATCCACCACCATCTGTCAGCTTGCAGCTGAGTTTGAAAAATGCATCCCTATATGAAGTGCACAGCCCCTTTCCCAGCATGGTGACTGTAGGGTGGGGGCCAGGCGGCTCCCAACTTGCAGCCACAGCCTCGGCACATCCCACGGAGTGGAAGTCACGGTCGCCCACCCCTGCAGACCTCAGGCACTCTCAGCCTGCTTGGCCTCAGAATCTCCCTCTCCCTACTGCTAGGAAAAAGGCCCTCAGGGTTCTTGGAGCACTGAGGAGGGTGATTCACTCTTTTCTTCCATCTCTCATTCATTCACAAATGTGTCCAACAGCTGTTTGGGAAGCTGGTGTCAGGTGTCATGGAGAAGAAGTCACTGAGAGCTCTGACTTGTCTAGTAAGAAAGGCATGGTAGCCCCAGGACCAAGATCCTGGGTTCCCACCCTAGCCTGAAGGCTGGCTTCCCTCTTCCACAGGATCGCTCTGCAGATAGCAGGCGAAGCACTTGGAGGGTGCAGTGTGGGGCGGGACACTGCCAGCACTGGGACCACACAAACCCTCCGTGTGCAAATGTTACTCAAAACTCCTCCTGATGGTTACTGCACATTTCAAGTGTCTTTACACTGAGAAAATAAATTATACAAAACTACAAGGAACATAATGCTTTGCAATCAACTTGTATTTTAGTGATCACAGCACCACTACGTAGATTTAAATAATGGATACACATGTACTCATTCAAGACATAATTTTTGTCTCCTGGGCTTAAGGTTTCAGGCCCCAGGGGACCCATGTATTTAATATTCATTCAACAGATATGTACGGAGCATGTCTAGGATGTTCTTGGTCTGGAGGACTGCAGTGCAGAGAGGGCAGGGCAGGGGCTCTGCAGAAAGGGGAGTGTGCCCTGGGATGGGTCATTGCCTATCTGAAGGTCTGAGTACCTCAGGGGTACAGTGGAGAGGATAATCCTGACACTGAAAAGTTGCTGTGAGAATTAAATGGGACACACCCAGTTCAGGGCCTGGCACAGGGCAGAAGTTCAAAAAATGGACAGCGTGGTTCCCATCCTCCTCAACAGTGCCATTGCCTTCTTCCAAACACAATGCCATCATCACCACTCTCCTTTCTTACTAATCCAGAGATGCCTGTCCTGCCCTTCCGTGAGAGGACACGGACTTTCCTGCCTTACAAAGGAACTACGAGTATCTACTGCTTTTCTCGGGTTTATGCCCAGCTCTATGGCTTCAGAGTTCTGGAAACTTGGGAGAAGTTATTTAACCTGTCTGAATCCTCTTCCCTGATGTAAAATACGGACAGTAGTTTTTGTAATACACAGAAATGAAGTAACATATAAAAAATCTTAACATAATACCTGACATATGATAAATGCTCAATAATTAGTGGTCATTATTTTTTATGCCATTATTATTACCATTTCTTTTCCTAGCCCCTGAGCCCCTTAGGGCAGAAACCATTCCAAATTTATCTCTGACTTCCCACAGAGCTGAGTAGCAGGCCTGTCTCCAAAAGACATTAATAAATGATTGCTAAATCAGTCTTGGAAGTTCACACAAAATCAGATGCAGATAACTAAAGGGGAACTGGGCATGGGGTACAAGCAAAGATACAAAGTCTTACTGGAACCTTGAAAACACCAACAGATTGCCTGAAGAGATCCATTTGCCATTCACAGAGTCAAATTGCAGGTGTGATAAAATCATTTGTTCATTCATGGAACTGACACCAAATTTCCTCCCTCCCTCCTTCTCCACCTTTCCCTTTCCCCATTTCTGTTCCCTTCTTTCTTTCTTCCTTCCTTCTTCCTTCCTTCCTCTCTTCTCTTCTCCTCTCTCTCTCTCTCTCTCTCTCTCTCTCTCTCTCTCTCTCTCTCTCTCTCTCTCTCCCTGCTTTTGGTGTTGGGAATAGAACCCAGGACCTTGTGTTTGCTAGGCAAGTCCCATACCAAATTTTTCACTTTGGTCCAATAGCAAGCTGCTGCTCAGTGATTGTTTTTTTCACTTTGAAGTCTTATTTCTGCCCATCTCATTTAGCTTCCACACAAATATCTAGAGGTAGATGGAACAGATGCTAAGGATCCATTTTGTAAATAAAGAAGTGCAAGCTTCAGCAGTGACAAGTCTTGCCAGAGGGCACACAGTGGTTTGACACCCAGGTACACCACAGGCCAAGGTCCCATCAATGACCTTCATTCTTTCCTGCTGCCTGGGTGATGTCAAGTACTTTATAAACATCCTCACTGCTCAGTTGCTTCTCAGAAAATGAAATGGACTTAAAAAGCTATTGGTGGGCCAGGGATTTAGCTCAGCGGTGTAAGCACCTGCCTGGCAAGCACGATGTCGTGAGTTCAATACCTGGTACCAAAAAACAAAAAAATACTACTGGTGTTATTTTAATCTGCCTATTTTAAAAGACAGCATCTTGGGAGAGGGGCTGAGGGGGGAGAGTGAAAAAAGAAGAGGAGTAAAGGAATTGAAAAATGGCCAACATATGTCGTATGCTCGTACCAATCCCCCACAATGAACATCATTATTCTGTATCACAAATATGCACTAATAAAAAAAAAGAAAAAGGGAAGAAAAGAAAGACTTTAATGTCTACAAGGCAGGGACTAGAGAGACAAAACAGTGCAAGGGCAGTTGAACATATGAACTCTGATCTCGAGATGCTGGAATTCAAATCCTGGCACTGATACTTACTAGCTGTGAAACTTTGATAAAATTGCTGAACCTCTCGGAACCTTAATTTGTTTCATCTATAAAGAGAAGACAAGGGTTGCTGTGAGAGTTAATTAAACTAATCCATGAGCAATGCCTAGAACAGTACTGACACACAGTGAGGTTAGCTCTACTTGTAATTCTCCATGAATGGCATCTAGCTAGGTAATTCCCGGTAGCTAGCGCAAGAGCCAATACAAGCAAGATCCCTGATAAACACGTTAGATAGCTGAGAGGATGCAATACTTTCTGAGAAGATGTAAGCGCCTGGGCTTTAACTACTGATGAATAGGCAGAAGGGTAGCTGGACATCTGGCCCCAAGAAACTCCAAGTTCCTAACTCCAGTGGAAAGTGAGAGTCATTCCAGGCCTCAAGGCCCTTTCTACCTCCCCAGGAAACTAGATCCATGGCCTGGCAGGTCATGTGACTAGCAGTTAGGACTGTAGGCTCCACAGTCAGATACTTCAATTCAAGCCCTCACTTTCTCATCCTGCTACTTACTAGTTGTGTACAGCCTCAGTTTCCTCATCTGCAAAATAGGGTTGCTCACATGTACCCTGCAAAGAAGCTGGGTAGATAAAATGTCGCACAGAGTGGGTAAAGTCTCCTGTTCCTGGCCCCCATCCATGGTGACGGTGACAGTGAATTTAATACGGTCAACAGCAGTTCACCCAGATGGAGCTCATCTGATGGTCAGCTCATCTGTCTGAGTGTTGCTTCTTATGGGGCTTGGGTCCTTCTACCAGGGACATGGCTTACTGAAACTCCAGGGTCTACTCTCAAAGCCAAAAGGCCACATGAAAAGGCAAATTATTTATTTGGTCCCAAAATAGACTGGGCCCCATGGAGGTGGCACAGCTGCCTGAGCAGAGAGAGAATCCACATGGAGAGTTCCTCCCCAGGGTCAGTGCAAGCAGGGGTATGCAGTTGCTTCAAAATTGGCCCAGGGCCCAGTTTACCCCACCAAGACCCTAAAGCCCTCAGACTGTCCTGCTTCTCCCTCATCTCATCTAATCTCACAATGAATCTTCAGGGGGAGCATCGTGCCCTCATCACACCCATGTTATATTTTTTTAAAATCTTTGAGCATCTATTGATGTCTCTATTCATTTAATGCATTTTTCAGAGAAAGAAGTTGTTATGGTTTAAACCTAAAGTGCCCCCCAAGTCTCACTGTTCACAGGCAGGGCCTGATTGGAAAAGGTAAGTTCCTGAGGGCGTGACTGGGAAGTGTGTATTTTTGTCTCTGGCTGTTCTTTCTGGCTTCTTCCTGGCTTCACCAAGGTAAGCAATTTTCCTCTGCCAGACTCTTCTAGCATGAAGATTCTGCCTTGGACCCCATTAACCATGGACTGAACTCGCGAAAACTATGAGCCAAAATAAACCTCTCTTTTAAAATTGAAAGTGTCAGGCATTTTGTCCCATGGATGGGAAAATGACTAATACAGTAGCTGAATCATGAGCACCATAGAAAGATCTATGATCTTATCTAAGATCACGTAAGTAGCACATGACAAAACTCGGTCTGTTTGGCTTCAGAGTCCTGTTCATTAATTTATCCGTCTACTATTTTTTAGGGTTTACCACATGGTGGGCACTGTATCATATTCTCTCTTTCTTAAAACATGTTATCTATTTTCCAGTACTCCAAAGACCCTAGTATCCCAGGTAACCTAACAGATATATTAACTCCCTCCATCTGTCAGGCACTGTGCAAGGTTCTGGGACAAGAGATCACACAGAACCCTCCTGTCAATCCTATGCAGTTGATCATTTCATTGCTTCTATAGATAACAAAATGGGCAATTTAAAGAGGAACTTATTCAGGCTCATACCCTTGCATCCTGGATGGAAGCCTACATCCATCTTACCCCAAACTTACTGTCCCAGAATACAGTCAAAGGAAAAATGCAAAGCAAATTCCATGAAACATTATTTATAGTCATGAAACACTGAACACTACAAGCAATTCTAAGTACTAAGATTGGAAAGGGCTAGAACGGCAACGAAAATGGGGACACATCTATGTCAGGAGTTGGCAAATGACAGCCTGTGGGCCACATCCAACGGATGGCTTGCTTTTATAAATAAAGTTTAATTGGAATGCAGACACACCCATCATTTACAAAATATTTGTGGCTGTTTTGTGCTTTACCAGCAGAGCAGAGTAGTTGGTATAAAAGGACCTAAAATATTTGCTATTTGACCTTGTCTCAAAAAAAAAAAAAAAAAATTAAAAGGCTAGGGAT